TGTTCTACTCGGGCGTTTGCAGCCAACTGCGGTCAAATAATTGGGTAGACCCAACTGTCAGGAACGCTGCTCTCCGCTCAGCTCTGCTGCCTCTGTGGCGCTACCCAACACAAAGTAGGCAGCATTAAATTTGTGTCGTGTTTCGGTTAGGCGAAGCGCTTCAGCTGCCATAAACATTTTTATTATCTTGTTGTTGTGTGTGCGCTTAACTCTTGCCGGGGCGTGGCCAAATATGTGAGCGCGCCCATCGTTTGCAATTATTATTGCATACTTATGGGCGTGCATGCTGTTGTCAGCAATTGCGGCACATTGCCACAGCATCCAAAATCTGTTTGTCCGATTTTTATTGCACTAATTGTGATGCTGTGAGTGTTTCATAAAAATGTTATAAATCTAATATATCTATATATATATGGCTTTTGAGAATGAATACTAATGAATACTTGGAAATGGCGTTGACTAGCTGACCGAATGCTTAAATGCTTTATATATTCTGACTAACTGAATATCCGACATGGAAACTCATACCATATGCTACACATTTCTCATAAGATACATATATTTTCCTATATTCCTCATGCATAGCTCTCTATACATCTACGATCTCTCATGTGTTTGTTACACATGCAAAAATTATTCCTGGAAGACGGCTTAATTTAACTGCTCATATAACGTGAGTGCCTCAGCATAGATTTAATAATACTTAAAGTTAAATAGTTCAACTAAAAGTGGAATGGTAGAGAACACGGGCAGATTGCATAACTGGAAGAACATGTTCAGGCATTTTGCTCTCTATTTTTTCTTCTTTCTGATATGTGCACATGGCAAACTAATTGAAAAGGGAACTGCACAAAGCGCAAGGACAAACTTTATGACAAGTTGTTCTTGTTGCTCTTGTTGTTGGTGTTTACTGTACACATACACAGACACACACATGCACAGACAGCAGATAGGAAAAACATGGGAGACACGCATTTAATAAATCCATCATATAACCCGCATTATTAAAAAGATCCAAGACACTGAGTCCTGGCACGAACCAGCAAAGTTTCGCTGGCAAACAAGCTCATAGATATTGACAAAGAGAGAGAGAGGAGAGACAGAGAGTGCAAGGGGGCAGCTAAACAAACAGGAACAGAAACAGAAACAGGAGACATACTGAGAGACACGGACACAGAGACACGAACAAAAAGCGCTTATCAAATTTCCACAAACGATGACAATCAAACAAGCCAGTCGCTGTCCCAAGTCGCACACAGTCACGAGCTCTGGCCGTGTAGACGAGCACTCTTCATAGGAGTCTGGCTGACGAAACGAAACGAGTTGATTGAGGTTTGGCCAAGCGCCCGGCCATCAGCTATTGAGTGAATGTAATCGCCAATAAAGTGCACAAAGCGCATATGACAATAGCCAGTCGGGGACAACGAAAGGATTCAATCAATGCGCAAACAAAATGACTAACAAACATATACAGAGCGGGAGCGAGTGTGTCCAGCTGCCCAGAAGCAATGCAGACAAGATCAGCCAACAAAATGGGGCACATAAATAATTCAATTGTCAACACGCTGAACGATGCAACATGCGATAATATGCTCAGCAGCACATCGACATCCAGCAGCCAGCATCTACACCCACACATCCGCACTCGCACCCAGGCCAACTCACACAACACCTCCACGCTCCTAGCCGTAGCAGGCATCTATACTTGTTTAGCAGGCGAGTCGCATAAGTCGCAGGACGAGGCGCAAAAGTTTTTGCTCACATCGAAAGTTTATTGGGCGGGTCGAACGGAACTACGTGCATAATACAAAAAGTAACAACTTTATCGATTTACACAAAATGAGGCTCGTTATTAGTTAGCAGCTGCTGAGCAGGACACTCAGGACATTCAGCACAGCAGTCAACCGGGCGCAACACATGGCGCCAGCTGGCAAAAGGATTGATGCCCATTAATGGTTGGCAGGCAAAGGAAATCGCCAAAGGAATGGCTGAGTCCAACCTGAGCACTCTCAAGGGAAAACTAAATGCTTAAGTCAGGCATAAAAATGTTTAGCAAATCTCGCTTATAATTTTAAATAGATAATTGTAGTTGTGGAAATTGTGATGCAATGACCAAATTCGTAAAGTTTTTTAATACAAATATTTACTTTACGTAAATGAAGATATTATTTACTAGACATATACATGATATATGATTTATGAAGAATTGGTATTGTATATTTAATATATTTAAAAAATATATTGTATATTTGTATATTTAATATATGTGTTTAAGAAAAGATCTAATCATAACTCTTAGCACAACTCCTGATAATAAAAAATTGTTATGCCTTAACTGCAGCCCGTAAGAATGTAAAATGAGTCTTGATTACGGCTTACCAAGTGGAGGCATTGTCATGCTTAAACACATCAAATGTGATGCTTTCAATGACTGCACGTTGCTGTTAGTTTCTCATGTTGGGTAATTTGATTCATGATTTCAATAAATGTAAATTTCATTTACTAAAAATCTCTTTACAATACGTACAATAGAATCTATAAGATTAAACATTTTAAAACAATATTTTATAACTCAAAAGAAAGTTTTCCTTGTGAGTTTCGTATGCTTGCAAAGCAATTAGAGATGACGATAACATAAGCTATAAATATTAGTAAGTCTTTTATTTATTTTTTGTTGCACTATTCAAGGCAAATGAATTATTTCATTTATAAATTTGCTTTTATTTTTCATTTAAATCCAAAATGTTTGTCCATTTCGAGTATTCTTATATATTTCCTTTATATTTTTCTTAGTGAAATTCTTTGCATATTCTTTTGTAGTTGCTTTCAATGTTTTGGGCTTTAAAGCAGCTTCGTTAAAATCAATCCTATGATTGCATTTAATCTGTCAGCGTCTACCTTAGATGTCTGTAGCAAGCCACAATTGAAATGCCTCGACTCTAATAGTTTCACATCCGGAATTTCATCTCAATCTTTCTACTCAATTAAAGTCATTGGCTTTATGCCTGGTGTTCAAATGCGGCACAAAGTGCTACCCACTGACTAATCCGAATAGCTAACGGCAATCGCACCACATTTACTACATACCACACATCACACACACACACACACACACACACAACGCCTAACCCCAACTGGAGCGAGAGCCGCCTATGGTTTCCTGCTGCTGTTCACTTGTCTCACATTTCTCGTGCGTTTTTTATTGGCTTTCTTACACGCCACTTTGCCTTATTTTTTTATGGCTTGCCACAGCAAAAACCTTAAGTCCCCAACACCAACAGCTCTCACACCCTCGCCCCCTCCACACCCAACTCCAGCTGTCAGTCGTCGCAGCAGTTTTTATGATTTGTTTCGCTTGGCTTCGTTTCCATTGCTTTCGATTTTAAAGGCTTGTCCATGCCTGCGCAAGTGTATGTGTGTGTGTGTGTATGAGTTGGTTGTTAAGCAACCCAGACCACGCCTCTGGCATAACCCCCGGCCCTAAAACATACGACAAGTCAACGCTTGGGCCATTTTTTATTGTTGGAAAATTGTTTTCTCAGTAGAAGGAAACGAAAAGGAAAAAAAATTGATTTCTTGTCTTTATGGCATTGTCCTTTTGCCAGCCGATGCTATTGGCAAATTTAATATGTTATCCTTCGCAGTGCGTAGCTGTTGCTTGCTGCTGCTGCTGCTGCTGCTGCTGCTATTGTTATTGTTGTTGCTGCTGTTATTTGTTTGAAAAATATTGAATTTTTGCCAAAGGATAAAGGATGCGATGGATAACATCTTTGCCGTGTTGGCGCAAAATGAAGCAACTGCCAACGGGCGCCGCCAGCCACTGGAAAATTGTCCAGCATTTCGAAGCGACTTAACCTGTTCGCCAATGTCCTTCGACTCGCCGAGCGTTGTCTTCGCTTTGCAGCTCTTTTGCGGTTAACTTGTATCAGCTTTTGCTTTTATTGTCTGCCTCTTGTTTGTATATGGACAAACATGTGTTATGTGTTTCTTCTCATTCGAATCGCTCGTTTTGTTTGCCGTTTTTGTAAACATTTTTTGCACGCACACAGAGAGAGAAAGAGAGAGAGAGGGAGAAAGAGACACAGACGCACACTCATACAGAGAAACAATTTATTTTGACCAAATTGAATTGCATTTAATTTGCTGCATTGCTTTCGCCCAACAAATTGAAAATAAATAATAATTCAATTTGTTTGACAGCTCTCTACACAACAAAGCTGAATTATGAAAGCGTATGTATATATATATATATATATATCCATATGTACATATGTTTGTTTGGAGGCTTTGCCAATATTCAGGTTATATATAATGGCATAAAAAATTCTCTTCAATTTATATACAATTTATAATGTTATATAGAAATAGATTTTTGTTATATCTAAATGAATCAATATATATATACATATATATATCGATATTTATATAAAACATGATTTTTAATTTCCATTGAAATATAATATGTTAACAGAAACAATTCCATATTGCTTCTTTCTAGCTTCCTTTTCTTCCCTATACAAAGTCAAAGTTTACTCAACTCTTAGTTAATTTCAATATATTGAAGTTGCAGTTTAAGTTGAAGTTGAACTAACTCGCCGCATATCTATGAACTCTGCAGTTTATTAATAAGTCTTTAACAGGGTATTCTCCAGTCATGCTAATTAAACTGCAGTCAAGTTCTACTTGCTTATTCTGCTAGGTGAGACTATATTCTGTGATTTTTTCTTATCGACTCAACTTGCATAAATTATGAAATTGTTTATAAATGCCTGTGATTGATTTGTTGTTGTTGCTTTTCCATTAGAGAATTGCATACATTTTCACTTCTCATGCGCGCTTACCTGCAAGGAAATTGAAAAAAAAAGTAAAAAAATGAATTTAAATGTCAACAGTTTCTGACTTAAAGATTTTATAGTTATTTTTACAGTTTAGTTTCAAGTGTTAAATATTTTCATGTTTAAAATTATTAAATTACAGCTGCAATTGCAGTGCATATTTTCATTTCGCCTTTACCTTTGTATATTTAATTAAATGACCTGAAGCCGCAAAATTTCTGTCATTTTTGGTCTGCTCTCATTTATTTATACAAATGCAATGATAAAGCTATGTAAGAAATGCCTCAAATGAAATCAATTAAGAAAAGGCATTTCATATAAGTGAAATCTATTTAAAATTCAAAACTTTCGCCTGTGTTTTTTTTTTTTTTTTTTTTTTTATTTATTTTAAAGACTTTAAACAACTAAATTTCCAACTCTTTATTTTTTTGTTTTAGCCGGCAAAACTCATCATAAAAGCATTAGCGCCAAACATTTTTTTGTTTCACTGGAAGTTGGCACAATGCATATTCGGGACGTGGCTAGGGGCGTGGCAGTGTGCAGTGGACGGGGCCAAAGCACTCATGTGAAAGCCCAAAGGGCAACACTGCAACAAACAGCGGCAAATGATGAGCGCCAAATATAAAAAAGTGAACTAAAGCTGTTATATGCAAAGCTAGTAAGCGACTACAAAATACCCTGTAAAAAGAAAATTATGTGTAGTCAAATTTGTATTGAATTTTATCAAATTGCAGGGCATCCAAATGTAAAGGCCTTCGCCATTTTGTGCATACAAAAGCAACAAAAACACAGCGCAATAAAATTTTCTAACCAAAATAAAGGCAACACTTTAAAATATATGAAGAACACACACACTTGCACACACGTGCGACACACAGACAGACAAAGCGAGGCAAAGCTGGCAGAAATACATAAAAAATAATATCATGAATGCAATGACTTTTAATGTACAGTTATTGCGCAGCTGTCTGACGTGTGTCTGTGTGTGTGTGTGCCATAACAATATGTATACACATATAGAATATATATATATGCTTATATGTGCAAGTATATTTTTAATATTGCATACTTTTTTGGCGTTGCTTACATTACGCGCACTGCACAGCTTCCCAGCTCCAGTTCCAGGAGCAGCAGACTCGAGTCACATAAACGTAGCATACTTTTGAGCGACGCACACATTGCATGCACGTACTTTTCTGATTTTTTTTCGTTGCTTTTTTTTTTGGTAAGCTCCATCAGCACTTTGCAGCGGGCTGGCAGCGCTTGGAACGACTGTTGCCCGTTGCACATACTAATAAGGCTAAGTGCCAATGACAAACACAACTGCACACACACACACACAAAGCCATTACAAACATGGCTAGTTGCGACGACCCTCTATTTCTTTTGGCTCACTCAAATGTCGCGTCCTTCGCATTCGCGTTTCGGCTCGTCCCGCGCTTCGCACCCCTTGGCAAACAAAAATTTCATGACTGTTGATGACCTCATAAGCATGCGTGTTTATTTCCTTTGTTGTCGCGTGTGCACAGCCCTCCACCATGCCCAGCTACATCGCATTTGTAATGCCATACAATTTGCGCGATTTGCGAGAAATATCGTTTAAATAATATTTAAAACAAAATGCACTTTGCGCAATGCATCGCTTTAACTTATTACAAAAATATATTTTTTATATTAATTTTTTATATTATTTTGTATATCAAGGAAAATTAATGTTAGCACATATTTAAAACATAGCAATCTTTTCGATTCGGCAGCTTTCTTGGAGAATGACGTTTATAAAACTTGTTAGCAACTCGCATTCATACATTCAGCCAGACGAGATTCAGTCAGACGCAGCTTTCTTTAGCACAGTGTACATATATATATATTTACATACAGCAACGAGGAGAAGGAACAGTACCCACAAGTGAGCGCACAAAGTCAATTTCGGTCGACAAATATTCGGTCTAACTATATATAGACCTACACAACAGCTGACACATGTCCAAAGCAGACGGTTCGTGGATCAATTGGTTTGTTGGCTTGCACTCGAATGGGTTTCTGTGCCGCGTGCCCTACGAATTTGCGCGCGACAAGTTCAACTTGACGGGCCTGGAGACAATGGTGACCAACTTTCAGGACACTTTGGATGCCATTCTCAACTCGGAGTTCGATATGCAGAATGGCTTCGATGCGGACGACTCGCATCCCGAAATGGCCGAGCAGCTGTACGGACTGATCCATGCGCGCTACATACTGACGCGGCGGGGCATCTCGGACATGTGCCTCAAGTACCAACGAGGCGACTTTGGCGTTTGTCCGCGCACCTACTGCAATGAGCAGCTGGTGCTGCCGCTGGGCCTGACGGATCGCATTGGCGAATCGCACGTCAAGGTCTATTGTTCGCGCTGCCAGGACATCTATCAGCCAAGCGCACGCTGCGCCCTGCTCGATGGCGCCATGTTTGGCAGCAGCTTTCCACACATGTTCTTCATGCAGCTGCCGCATCTGCTGCCCGAGCCGCCCATTGAGAAGTACACGCCACGGTCAGTTGAGGCAACTCAAGTACAATTCATAGCTCTCTCTCTCTCACCATATCATCTTTATTTACCCGCAGCATCTATGGCTTTAAGCTGCATGACCTGGCTCTTCTGCCGCCATCACCGGATGAGAGCGACCTCGGCGACTCGACCAGCAAGGAGCAGTTGAAGCATTTGGAGCAGGCGCAGCCTGTCCAAGACGACAACCGGCCGAGCAAACGACGTTGTAATTTCGCATTTGACTAATTGAAATGTTCTAATAATTCAAAATTTAGGCTAGTTATTAAAGAAAAATGCGTTTTGTTGCAGTGTATTTGAATGCAAACACATCCGACTGAATTCTTCCGTAACGAACTGGCCAAATCACAAACACTTATAAAAACAAATTTGAGTTTGCCTAAGGCAGCTTCAATTTGATTAAATAAGCATATGCAAATATATAATAAATATTGAAATTCTTTTTACATATTTTATCATATTTGTCAGGCCAATATTAGGTACATAAATATAAAAGCCTTTAATGCCTTAATTCCTGCTCTACTATTGCTACTGCTCACTTAGTGTAAAGGCAGATTTAGTAGTTAAATATTTGCTTAAAGCTGCATAAAGTAAGTTGAATTTTGAATGAGCCCATCGAGTCGCTTAGAATGGACTCGAAAGTTCGCAACTGGTTTTTATATCCTTGCAGTCGTTTTTTGCTCCGCTTGGCCTTCAAGTTCGAACAGTTTAGCAAGTTCCATCAATGTCAAAGTGATTGTAAGTTGGCGTTGTCATTTCTCTTGCTATTTATAGGCAGCTGTCAAATTGCAAATTGATGCCAGCCCCTCACGCCCAACTATCCCACTTCCATGCGTATGTGTGCCTCGTCTGCCTGCCAGAGCTCCATAATGCTTCACTTTGCAACACACAAAATATACATAAAAATGTTTTCTTACTTTTATAATTTTTTTCATATTTCTTTTTATACCCTGATCCCATTAAAAATGGGAAATCAGGGTATAATGGTTTTGTGCAAATGTATGTAACAGGCAGAAGGAGGCGTGGCAGACCCCATAAAGTATATATATTCTTGATCAGGACGACAAGCCGAGTCGATTGAGCCCTGTCCGTCTGTCTGTCCGTCCGTCTGTCCGTCTGTCCGTCTGTCCGTCTGTCCGTCTGTCCGTATGTGTGAACGCGTGGATCTCAGCATCTATAAGAGCTAGAGACTTGAAATTTTTTTTGTAGGTCCGTGTATAGCACGCGCAGGTCAAGTTTGTTTCAAATATTCGATAACTATTCGCATTTAATTGTTATCGAATAAAAACATTATTGAAATGCAGTAAATAAATTATATCTCGAAAGTCTTAAGAGCTAGAGCCTCCAAATTTTGTATTTAGTCTTATGTATATTTTATGCAATTTTGATTTTTGTTGGATTTTGGATACCGGCTCCAAATTCCCCCAAATTCTTAGAATTTAAGTTTAGTTGGAGCTAGGGCCATTATGTGAAGGCGTTTGCATCTCAACCAAGCCAATAGGATATGTAGATCATATGCTGAAAGTTTCATTAAAATCCATTAAGTAAAACAGAAGTTATTAAACAAAACGTTTGGCCAATTTGCAAAAGCACATGTCAGCAGCGCCACGCGCACGCATTTTTCCTATGCGTGTGCACACATACATTCAAATGCGTGCATTCTTTTCTATTCCAAGAATTGAAATTGCGATTGAATTGTGCTGAATTATTAGCTGCTACTTATGTTCAAATTTGCAACAACTCGCGAAAGAAGGGCAGTGGCTGCGTTGGTATAGGCGCCGCTCGTATGCAGCTTGGTCCGGGTTCGAGACCAGAGGAGATGAAATGTTTTTTATTGTTTTATTTTTTTTTTTTAGTTATGAAGTGGCGGTGTTGGTAGAGTTTGTGCACGTTGCGCAAATAATCCGGGTTCGAATCCTGGTCTCGCAATGTCGATTTTTATTTGTTTTCTTTTTTTTTTAATTCTCGATACAAACTACGGAAAATATTACAAAACTCAAAGGACTAGGATCAGGGTATCTCCTAGTCGGGCACCCCGAGTAGAGCTTTCTTACTTGTTTTTTTGTAGGGTGGGCGGCCAAAAAAGAGATGCGCGTAGTTTGCCTTGCTGCTTGTCAAGCCATAAAATGTTATCACAAAAAGTATTTTCCAAGTCAGTGCACACACAAAAGTGCTAGACAGAGAGGTAGAGTGTGTGTGTGGGACAGACAGTGCAGTGCGGAAACGAGATGGCTGCCAAGATTCAAAGCAAAAAGTTGCTGCAGCTCTCTATCTACACACACACACACACGCACACACACACTCACACAGGTTGAAAGTTACAAATAGAGTTGCCATAAAATTTCACATGCTTATCACGTGCGCTCTACCAGCACACACGCGTTGTCTCTTGGTCTGCCTGCCGACAGATGGCGCCACAGCGCAGAGAGAGAGAAAAAGGTAAAGTAAACTTTACTTTTTGTTTCGTTTTTTTTTGTTCGCAGACTGTACTCAATGTTAAACTCTTGACGCTTAAAAGCCGTGCATGGCTTGCTTTTATTAGCGGAATTGTTGTTGTTCTTATTGTTGTCAGCATTTTCACACGTCACACACACCTGGCATCCGTTATGCGCCAAGCTTAACTGTACCGCGAGAGTGCACAAAAATATTGCGTTCATTTGAAATTGTTTGCCGTTTGGCATTGATGTTGCTGCTGCTGCTGCTGCTGCTGTTGTTATTGGTCGATATGTGTCCATTTTATTGTCATATTTATCAACAATCAGAGAATAACAAAAATGTTCTATGGGAATAGAGTCGTTGTTCTCTAGTCACATTTTTTGGCTGCCTGTCGCCTGGCATTGACGCATTTTTCTGCAAAAAAATCGAGCTACACACCATTTTTGGCCAAAAACAAAAAAAAAGATCAGAAAAGGAAAAGTCTAACAACAACAAAGACAACAGATATGTCAAAATGCCTAGCGCGAATTTGAAATTGGCTTTTCTTTTTCGCTCTTTTTTCTGGTTGTTGTGACAACGCGAATGCATTCAGCAAATGGAAAATATGCGTGTGTGTGCGCTGCATTGTTGTGGATTGAACGAGTTGACATATTGCACAGATACGATAAGAGCAAAAAGCGTCTGTGAGAAAGTCGCCCCAAGTCATGGCAAAAACACAGCAAACATCTTCTCAGGCTTAGCCAAAATGTGAACACCACAAACATTCACTTTCTCTCTGTGACATTGGCTTACGGAATTTCGAGTATGCAAAACGGAAAATGCTCAATAAACTTGAATGTGACTTTAATTTGGAAAATAAATTGAAGAGGCAATTGCCAGATTCAAGTGTCTAGCATACATATATATAGAGAACAGGCCTAGAGAGCTCGCTCTGTCAGTTTCATATTCAAGAAGGAAATTCTACATATTCTAAGCCGGACATAGGTGTAGTTACAAAGATATTTTATGTCCCTAGCACAACATATATTCTTAGGGATATATATTTTAATGCAAAACAAAGACAACAATAATTAAGCACCTGCCCTTTCCAACGACCAGAGGCAACTGCTGCTAGCAACTAAAAACTCGGAACGATAAATTTGCAAACAAATCTTTGTCTAAAACCTCATAAAAATGCATATAAAAAACTCAACAGAAATGGGCCAAAATGGCAACAAAACTCAATTAAAATGGCTTAAAAACTAACGTGAAAATGCTAAAGAAACAAAACGAAAAACTTTTTCGCCTGCAACATTTTGCATTTGGCTGATAAGCCCAAAAGTCGACTGCGAAACAAAAATATACAAAAAAAAGACTGCAGACAAATTAACGCGCAAATTTTTGGCATTGAAAGCGGCATAGAAAATCTGCAAAAAAAAATAAAAAAGAAAAACCCCAACTAAACAAACACAGACCGAACGACAGTCAGACGGACAGAAAGACAAATATAGCCACAACTGGCGTAATGCAATGTGAGAGAGTGCGGCATACTTTTTGGCGCTGCAGAAAACTTTTGCCAGGGCGAGGCAGAGGCGAAGGGGCGGGGCCAGAAGTTAAGCATGTGTGTTAAACACATGTGACCCAGAAAAAAGGCATCTGTAAATTGCGATTGTGCCGGAGCTTATTATGAACTGATTTTGGACTGGCAAGCGCCTAATGCTTTGCCATAAACTTTGCTGTGGATTGGCACAGAAACACAATTAAATTAGTAGAGATAGAGAGAGAGAGAGAGAGAGTGAGAGAGAGAGAGAGAGAGACTACTCTTACTATTACATGCGAGCAATGTTGGCGATACTCTTGTGTATTCAATTTACATACATATTTAGAGCCATAAAACGGCTTCCGTTTAATGATGGCTCTTTGGCTATTCGAACAATTTATGCAGAGGCAAAACATGAAAATTTGATTTTCATGTAAATTTTCCTTTTTTATACTGTTTTATATGCAGCAATAGTTGTTTGCCCAACCAGGTGCAATAAAAACAGAGAGCGAGAGAGCGCCGAGCTGCTGCAAAGATCGTAACGGCCGCCAGCTGTGTAGATTCGAGTCCAAGGACTGACCCCTTAATCTGCATAATTTGCGCAAAGAGACGAAGAAAAAAAGGAGGAAAAAAGAAGCAAAGGCAGGCAAAGGCCCAGGCATTATAAATAGTCCAAGATATTTATTTGTAATGAGACTTGTGCCTGGGGCGGAAGCGTTTGCTATTGCTTGGTCATTGGCTGCCCGGAAGGGTAGTTAAGAAACTGTTGGAACTTTTGCTTTTTCTTCGATTAGAACTCTCCGTGTGTGTGTGTGTGTGTGTGCAACAGCTGTTGAGGGTTCATTTTTTACTTTTGGCGCAAAGTTCAGTCTAATGATGACGACCACTGAGTTATGTTAATGATAAGACCCAAAAACTTGATTAAAAACTAAAAACCATCTTATGGACACTCAACTTTAGCTTCCACATCAGCTTGAAGCCCGATGATTACGTCTCTACCCACAGCAACTGGCAGTGACTGGCTAGTGAGTTGGCTTAGGGTTCATTCAACCAACAGCTGGCATATTATAGACCACAAATGACATTTTATTATTTAATCAATTTGCCGGACAGGCCGGCCCACCATTAACTATATTTCCGCATAATTGAATTTATGATTCAAGTGCCCACAATTTATTATTGAATGAGCAAATATGACAAATGACTGTGAGGCCAGCCAAACGATTAACAAACTTTTTAAATATAGTTATTTGTGAGCCATAAATAAGTATGACTTTTGCTTCATGACCTTTGCTAGTTTATTGATGAATGATACAGTCAGGCTCATAAAATATTTAAGGCATTTCTCTGACAACTTAGTTTAGTTTGTGTCTGACATGTCCCGGTTGTTTAATCTTAA